GCAAGTGTAATATGAAAAGTTAAATTCTTGGTTTATTTAAGCGAAGACTTTTGTTTCCGTGGATTGTTCTAGTTTAGTGTAAGTTTAAAGGCATCTTTTAAATAAGAATAATCAATATGCCCTTGTATTTACGTTTTTAAAAAAGAATTTGAGTGTTATTCAATATTTTCATTTTCAATATTACGTTTATATAGAATTAAGCCACAATTGGTTATAATAAAAATTACAATATTGTTGTTGGTTGTTTCAGGTTTTACTCCGGAAATCATTTTCAAAAAAAAATTTAAAAAAATAGTGATAAGTTTCAAAAATAGTGATGAGTATCAAGAAAACCATTATAGTCGCGTTGCATCTACGAAGAACTGCCTTTCTGCTTGAAAAAAATGTACAAACTGTTTTGTAAAAAGTATCTGCAATGCAATGTTTCCTGGCGCATTTACACTGTCATATTTCAATCAGACTTTAATCTGCGCTTTGGTCTCCCTCGCTCATATACGGCTACGTTTTGTGATAAAATGTATATCAAGCTTGTGATTACTCCAGACGGTCCAGAAAAAATGCTATTCTTATTGACAGTGAACTAAACCATGCACGTGCTGAGGCTGGATACAAAGCATTGAAGTTGGATGCTGAAAAGGCTAATCCACAACTATTCGTACTCTTCAGCAAGTATTGTACTGTCTAACATTAACTAATTCTTCAGTATTATACCAAAGTTATTATGCCACTTAACTATAATATGCAAGTTGCAACACGATACAGGTTCAAATGATGCCACTATGATGTTATGGCATGAATCTATTGGTAATCGTGATTCTACAGATATCACTTCAGCTTTCCTGTGTTACATAAAACTTAACTTTCGTCCATTGAACTCAGAAGAAATAAAATTATAAAATAACTCATAGTCTGGTCTGACCGATGTATCGGTCTGGAGAATGCTGTCCATGTTTCGTTTGCTTATTGTGAAAAGATCTTTCACTAGAGTAGAACAAAAGTTCTTAACTAGCAGTCACAGCTTCTTACCTTGCGGCAGTGACTTCCCGCTCATAGAGAGAAAAAAAATAGCAATGGTGAATGAACTCTTCAACTTGGTGTTGTAGCATTTTAAATTTGATTGATTCTTTGATGTATATTTAAAGTCGCCTCGTATATGAAATCGTCTTAATAAAACAAAGAATGTTTTCTGTTTTTTAGTTCGTATCTTTGTTTATTTTACTGCGGCGATTTCTTTTCATGTAAATGCGTCGCAAAGGAAACTACGTCGCATTCTTGTAAGTGTTTGTTAAGATTTGCGTCCAATTTTTGCGGAGAAAATCTCTGCTTGGCTCCCGTTTGGACCGCGTTCCAAGGCGGTTCAGCGTTATGTCCAAATTTTTCGTCGAATTTTGTAAAGTGTTTCTGTTTTCTTTTCTTTTCATGAAGAATTTGTAATGTCCTTTTGTTCTTCGTTATGGAAAATAATTTAAGTAGCAGTTAAATGTGGCAATTTAAGGTACAATTATAGTCCAATTCTACCTGTCCCTGTTTTTTTAAGAGGCAGAGCCATAAGTTTTGTTCAGTGCCGGCTTTGGCCTCAAATGGTCGATCCAATTCACAGTGGAGATGATTTTGTTCGTGTGTTCGTGTCCAGAGAACCCCAGTTATGGTTTCAGAAACTTAATGTGTGATCAAGTGAAATCCAGGTAACTTTTTAGGTGTTTGTTTAATTTTAAAGTGAAGACAAACATTTTTTTAAAATAATAATTGCTTTCGTTTTTTTTAATAGTAAATTTTTGGTTTTGAGTTGTGCTGTCAATTTGTGTTTAGTTTTTTTTGAAATTTAATGTTAATTTATGACAGCTCGTTTTATTATTTTTTTGATTTGTGTTTTGTTTTTTTTTAAAGGTTAACCTCCATGCAATTTTTTAAGTTTTGTAGCAATGGAGTTTATTAATGGATGACACATGTAAGTTTTGATATTTGTGTATTTTGTGACTGTTGTAATATTTTTGTATTTCTCATAAATAAAGGTTAAATTTTGTTGTCTTAACTTTTTATTTATTTTTTTGAGCTAAACCTTTATTGATTTTTATTTGAAAAAGATATGTTTTTTTATGTTGATTTTTTTTTCTAATTATTTCCCTAGTTACAACGAGTGGGTTGTAATAGGCATAATTGGGCACCTCAAGTGGCGCCCTATAATCAAATTTCTTGAGGTGTTTTCTGTTTAATTTTATTTTGTTTATCCCAAAAGCCCTTTATTTCTTTTTGTTGTAGTTGCCCCATTCTAACCTCTATTTTACTTATCCACGACCCCAGCTCCCCTACGAAACCCTGAGTGTCCGTTCGCACAAGTAACGTATATTTTGCTTGCCCTATCTTCACCCCCAATAGTTTCTCCCCCAATTTTCTGCCCCTTATATTAATGCCCCTGTGGTAGGCAAAATAATGTCGTTACAGTGTCATTGATTGCCAATTCACGTCCCAGCAAGCCCTTCAATGTGTACTACATGAAGCAAAAAGACTTCAATGACTTTTCAGCATATGAGAACTACTTATGGAAAGATCCCAAATGTAAGATCACTGAGTACCGTTGGTTCAAATTCGACAGCGATGATCCTGCGAGAATAATGGCTAGAACTCACAATTTAATGCAACCTTGGCAAACATTCTCACTTGTGAATAAAAAATGGGGGCACAAGCCATTAGATCATTCAACTACCAAATTGATGCGTTGCCGAATGCGTATACCGGGCCTATAAAATAAAAGAAGAAAACGCAAAAGTCTACTGGATATGTGCCAGTACCTGAAAACCAAATACCGAGAGTTTTGTGAAAAATTAGAATAAGATGGAACATTATTTTTAAGTTTAAATTTAAGGAGCATTAAACTGTGTACTTATCATATAACACAAATAAATAAACATTTTGAATTGATTATAGTTTATTATTAATATTAGATACTATTGTTCAAAACCTAAATAAGCCAAAACATCGCATAGTAATCAGGTGCAACACTGCTATATATCCAGTATATACAACATTGTTGCTGGGATATATTTTTTAAATAATTTTTTTCTGCTTACTCTGTGTAAATCTGCATGATTTGTTTACACATCTATAAATTTATCTTATTGTTAAGTGAAATTGATTTTTTTCTGTGCTTATTTTCATAAATAACTTGTCAATATATATTTCTTCTCTTGCATAATCTCAATTCTGTCGCTTACAACATTGTTGTAGCTCGCTATTCAATTGCGTTAATACCTTTTAACGTTTCTAATGATCTTAACTTTTTATTTTGTAATTATCCGCATCAGCCGTACAAGATTATTAGCAGCGATCTTAACTTTCAACAAACCAACTGGAATTAATTAGTAAATCCGAGTTCCTCTCTACCATTTCTTAACATTGTGCCGTTTTCTCTGTTCGATATTTTATCAAAATCTTGATAAGAACTTTACTTCTATATAAAGAAAAACTTTAAGTTTTACTCAATAGACTAAGTTAGCAAAGAATATATTTCTAGTAATTTATTAAAAAGTGCGACGTAACTTTTAATTTAAAACTTTGTAGTAGAAAATTGGATAAAGGAACATTATTAAATAAAGGGGATGGTAAATTGTATAGCGCATCATCTGAAACGCCGTGTAAAATTTAGAAAAGGATAATAATGCGTGCAAATAGAAAAATAATATTCAAAACAAAACAGTGTACTTTTATATTTTAAATATTAATAGTCTTAACATATTAATTGTCTTCAAGCAAATCTCCTAACTGGATGTATCGGTTTCATACCTGGAACAATCTGTATGGCGCATGATTCTTTGCAGCTAGTTCAGTGTATCCACTTCTCTATTAAATTCGCTATTATATGCAAACCAGAAATGTTTATATTATCAATCTTAGCGACGCAAAAAATTGACAATATTTTTCGGGAGTATATTATGCGAAGAGCACTTGAAGGATGGGAAAAGGGCATCTCAATAAATGGTCATAAACTAAACAACCTACGTTTCGCAGATGACACAGCCCTTCTTGCAAATAGTCAAGCAGAGCTGATAGAACTTATACGACTGATCGAAAACGAAAGTTAAATATTTGGTCTGCAATTAAACATATCAAAGACAAAGATCATGATAGTGGATAGACTACATAACAATCATCCACACATAACCACAATTGACCGGTTCGAGGTTGTGAGCTCATACTTATATCTGGATCATTAATCACAAACACAGGGTCATTACAAGAAGAGATTAAACGTAGATCTGATCTAGCAAAAGTTGCCACAGCAAAAATGACCAAAATATGGAAGGACTGTCAAATTTCAAGAGCGATAAAGATGAGGTTGATCAACTGCTTAATATTCCCAATACTGACCTACGGATGTGAATCTTGGACTCTGAGACAATCGGAGAGAAGAAAGATAGACGCCACTGAAATGTTCTGTTGGAGACGAATGTTACGAATTCCTTGGACCGACCGCAGAACAAATAATTCAATTTTAAGAGAGCTAAAAGTTAGCCAACGACTCTCTAGTAAAGTCCATCTCCAACAATTAAAATATTTTTGGGCATATTATGAGAGCAAACACAGAAAACATGGAAAGACTCATAATACAAGGAAAGGTAGAAGGCCCACGATCACGAGGAAGATCCCCAACAACATGGATAGATCAAATTACAGGAATATGCCAAAGACCTATGCATGAATTAAAAGAAATGACCAGAGACAGAGATCTCTGGAGACGGACAATACACGACATCACGTCGACCACTACACTCCCCCTGGGGGGTCAGGATTGAAGAGAGAGAGAACATGTACGAGGGGAAATAGAAATGCTACATAATGGCTCAGTCACAATAAAAACTAAGATGCAACAGTAAGGGTATCACAAAACCTAGGAAATTGATAACAATAAAAAGTACAGGTTTTTGATATCTAAGAACTTTTTTACCTTTTTATTTAATCGGTTTTATATTTTTTTGTAAACTAAACCCCTTTTTTTATTTCAGGAAAAAGCATTAGAAGGATATTGTCAAAAAGTACAAGAATTTTGTCCAAAAAATGCTGGACCACAGGGACCACCTGGACAAAAAGGTGATCAAGGACAGCAGGGACTGAGAGGATTTCCTGGAATTCCAGGTGATATGGGTAAGCTGTTGTTTGACCTACACTTTAAAAGATTATACTTTCTGATCCATCTAAGTAGAACCATATTAGTAATAATCAACAGTAGTTGTTCATTTACGTGATATTTGTACTTACTTTTAAGTACGATATTAACTGTTTTAGCAAAATTTGTTTAAAATAAAATTACAATTCTGAACACTTGACTCCAGACCAATGACCAGTTCTATATTTATGTTTATAAACAAATTCCTTTTTATTTTTTAACTTTAAAATATAATTTTTTTCAATAAATTTTTTAATTTTATTTTTTTTAATGTTTATTTTATTTTTTATAATTTATTTTATTTACTTTTAGGAAATAGAGGATTTTCTGGCCCAAAGGGTTCTACGGGGTCCAAAGGTTTGTTTAATATTTTTTCTTTTCTTTTTTTGTTTACTTTTATTTCTTTTAGGAGAACCTGGATTATTTGGGCGTAAAGGCGACAAAGGTTATAGGGGATTTGATGGTTTGTTTATTTTGTTTTTTCGTTTTATTTTATACCTTCTTGCTGAGATTTTAAGATTGCAAATATGAAATTTTAATATTAAATTTGTTATACATTTAATAATGTATTTCATTTTTTGTCTTGATTATCTTGTTATTATTTTAAAGGTTCTCCAGGATTTCCTGGAGAGAAAGGAGAACAGGGTCGCCCCGGGCTGGATGGTAGAGACGGTTTACCTGGAGAACCTGGTCTATATGGAAGACCAGGAAGAAATGGGTATGATGGAGCACCCGGTAAGGATGGCATACCAGGCAAGGATGGAAAAGATGGCATCAATGGTAAATGTTTTTGTTTGTGTACGGTAACTTCTTATTATTTTGCTATTGGTGTTGCAAGAAAAACTATGTATTAAAATTTAAGAAGTTTTAACATCTTTTATCAACGTCTGTTTGCCTTGTAAATTTTAGAAGGCTCAGATTATAAGCAGAAATCTAAATTGTGTTTCGAAACTATTTTACGGATTTTGTAATTAGATGTCGCTATCGCGTCCGTATTGAAGCCATTTTATTGTTGCTTCTTAAAAGACAGAAAATATTGATTTTTTAAGTTGATAACACCTATGAATAGCTGTTCTGATGAGACCTATTAGGTCGAAATACGTATCAACAGATACATAGGGATTGTTTGAGTGAAATCAAATATTTGCTGTCTTTTTCATTTTATTTTGGATATACTCTGTGTGAGTACTAGAAGCACAATTCGCTAAGGATTTCTGCTTAGTTGTAAAAGACATGTCGTGGAATGCAAATTTTAGATTCCCCATGTCCCTTTTAACATCTTTTATCAACGTGTGTTTTAATCAATATCAACTAATTAATTTAAGGTATGAAAGGTGAAAGAGGTGTTATGGGTCCTCAAGGTCTTCGAGGTCCATCTGGTCTGCCAGGTCCAAGAGGAAGATCAGGCAAACCTGGTACACACGGTACTCCCGGCATACCGGGCATCACTGCATGGAAAGTAATGGATAAGCAAAATACTTCAAAGCTTCTTATTCCTCCTTCAATAGCAGGCAAGTAGTTGGTGAAATTGTTTATATTATTTATTTTCTATAACATTCTATAATTGTTTTTTAAAACTAAAACAGTGCAATTAAAAAGTGGCTCATAATCAGGGCGGAAATAAAAGAAAAAGGTCTATAAGAAAAATAGAATAGGCTTATAGTCAAGCTATAAAAAACTATTTTTTTTTTTAAAATAACCAATATTGCCTAAAATTAACAATAATTAACTTAATAATAGTTCCCAATAGTATTCCACCTTAAAGCATAACCTCAAATAACAATAATATGAGGTGGAGTAGATAAGATGGAAGTTTGCCAACTTGCTACTTTAGTGCACAAAAATACCTCAGTCACTGACTTGGGTTATTTTCTGTATTAAACGAAAAGTACGCCATACATGCATAGGTCTTTGGCATATTCCTGTAATTTGATCTATCCATCTTGTTGGGGATCTTCCTCGTGATCTTCGGCCTTCTACCTTTCCTTGTATTATGAGTCTTTCCATGTTTTCTGTGTTTGCTCTCATAACATGCCCAAAATATTTTAATTGTTGGAGATGGACTTTACTAGAGAGTCGTTGGCTAACTTTTAGCTCTCTTAAAATTGAATTATTTGTTCTGCGGTCGGTCCAGGAATTCGTAACATTCGTCTCCAACAGAACATTTCAGTGGCGTCTATCTTTCTTCTCTCCGATTGTCTCAGAGTTCAAGATTCACATCCGTAGGTCAGTATTGGGAATATTAAGCAGTTGATCAGCCTCATCTTTATCGCTCTTGAAATTTGACAGTCCTTCCATATTTTGGTCATTTTTGCTGTGGCAACTTTTGCTAGATCAGATCTACGTTTAATCTCTTCTTGTAATGACCCTGTGTTTGTGATTAATGATCCCAAATATAAGTATAAGCTCACAACCTCGAACCGGCCAATTGTGGTTATGTGTGGATGATTGTTGTGTAGTCTATCCACTATCATGATCATTGTCTTTGATATGTTTAATTGCAGACCAAATATTTGACTTTTGTTTTCGATCAGTCGTATAAGTTCTATCAGCTCTACTTGACTATTTGCAAGAAGGGCTGTGTCATCTGCGAAACGTAGGTTGTTTAGTTTTATGACCATTTATTGAGATGCCCTTTTTCCCATCCTTCAAGTGCTCTTCGCATAATATACTCCCCATATATGTTGAATAATTGTGGAGATAGTATACATCCTTGTCTGACACCCCGTTCTGGATGAAATTCGTTTGAATGTGTGTCAAGTACTTTAACTGATCCAGTAGTGTGTTCATATAGTTCGGTTATAAGCGTAATTAGATGTTGTGGTACGCCTACTTCTTTTAGTATTCGCCATAAGTGTCTCCACTTGACCCTATCGAACGCTTTACGGTAATCTATAAAACAGATGTATAGTGGGATGTTGAATTCCCTAGATTTCTCGATTATCCGTCTTATATTCAGCAGGTGTTCTCGAGTGCCTCTACCTTTGGTAAATCCAGTTTGCTCTTGTGGAATTTCTCTTTGAAGGATTGTTTTCAGTCTCTCATTGATTATATGTAGCATTACCTTGCTGGCATGGGATATAAGAGAGATAGTTCTATAATTGTCGCATTTATGGAAGCTGCCTTTTTTTATGTATGGTCGTTATTGTAGATTTTGTCCAGTCTTCAGGCCATTGTTTGGAATGCCATATTTGGTTACAGAGTAGATGAAGTAACTTTACGCCGGTTTCTTCTGTGGCTTTAAGCATTTCTGCTGTTATCATATCTGGACCTGATGCTTTGTTATATTTGAGCTTGTTGATAGCCTGTCTTACTTCATTTTCGAGTATATCAGGTTCTTCTTCCACCTCGTCAGAGATTTGGCTAACAAGCTCTTGGCGTTGATCATCTTTATATAGGTCCCTGCAATACGATCTCCATGTCTCTGGAGACGGACAATACACGACATCACGTCGATCACTACACTCCCCCTGAGGGGGTCAGCATTGAAGAGAGAGACGCCATACAATTTCTCTATTATAATAAAGTAAATCGGGTTCCTTTCTACTACAAACTATATATCTACCACCAGAGTGAATGTATCCACTTTTAACACAAAATCACAAAAAACTGTCTCAGATCCCTTTCTGAAATAAGCTGTTCATATAAAGTTAAATTTGCTAAAAATGGGCATGTGTTGTTTTTTTTTTCAAATAAACACTTCAATTAAAATAATTTGATCAACCATTTTTTTCAAGAATTTTATTTATTTGTTTTAATCTAATTTTATTTACAATGGTTATCAATATTTCTATGCTATCTGATTTTTAAATGTTCAATTTTTATTTTGTATATTTTTCCAGAAAAGTAATATTAAAAACCTTTGATTGCCGTATTACATAGCTTGCCTTTTTTGTTGTTGTCCACAGTGTTGTAGCAATTATGCTTGAAAGTCCGCACATTTTGAAATACCAATATTTGCGAAAAAATATTGCTGCATAACAGATGTGACCCTTTCCGCAAGGTTAATTTACGCAAATTTATCATTGGGTAGCGCATTGTGTTATAGGACGCTAGTAGCAGCTTTACTCGAAAATCGCATTACAGTTTTTCTATTAGCCGCAGCTGATGTAGAAATCCTGTATTTCGCATTTAGTGCAAAAAGGAAATAGCGTCAGTTAATTCATCTGTAATAGATTCAGGTATTTAATAGTATTAGTAAATTTATTTCAGCGATTTATTGTTTTATAAAGTTTTACAAAACATTAGCAATTATTATTCATATGATAGTACTGCAATATCGATACAACTTTCTTCTTTAAAACTCATAACTGTCAAGGACATCAGATATTGCCCAAGCCATTTGAAAGCTTAAAATAATAAATCACCAGGAATTGATCAAATTTGTAGAGAACTATAGGACTAATTTAATCTCATGAACTATGGGAACGTAACGATAGAGGAGATCGTCTAATACAATTACCCCAAGAACGAAGTCTAATAATCAGTTAAACTTTGACGGTATACAAGGCAACTATCGAACACGGTGATTAATTAAATCTTGCCCAAGTACTTTCGATCAATAGATCATCTTCAGGGGCATTTCGTCAGTTGTGGCCTATCCGACATGAGTAGAATGTCATAAATGTAAATTTGGACATAACAATACAAAATACAATACACAAAGACAAACAAACACTTTAAAATTTTTGAAAATGAGAAGCTACATGTTGTATAGAAGCTGGAGACAGAATGGGTTTCAAAAATTGTAAAGTGTTTGTTTGTCTTTTTGTATTGTATTTTGTATTGTTATGTCCAAATTTACATTTATGACATTCTATTTTTGTCGGATAGGCCACAACTGACGAAATGCCGCTGAAGATGATCGATAATACTAAACTGGAGGATTATCTCACTTTTTTGGGCACAATCATCAACCCAAAAAATATTATTTTTTTATCTAGATTATCTTATAATAGAATCTGCATGTATTTGACAAAAAAAACCGTAGTAGATGACAAAACATGGACTTCATGACAAAACATGGCTCTATAGAAATACTCGGCGAAGTTGTAACAGCACGTGTCTCTCCAGCAGAAAGACTAATCTAATCTGGAGTCTGCCCTTCAATTTATCATCACTGCCCTAGTGAGTCAAACAATGAAGTACCAAATCAAACAGCTTCAACAAGTATACTACACAAGGTACCAAACACCCAGCAGTCATCAAGTTATCCATTATCAAATCCGAGCATATTACCTACACCTACAAATCTCCATGACAAAGAAATTATTAATATTCCTACTCCTAGAAACACTTCTAATCAACCTCATTCAGCGGCAATACCGTTTTCACAAACTTCGGAAGCAATATCCTCCAATCTATCAGCTTCTTTTCCATTAGATACAACTGCAAAAAATTCTAATAAAACTGATACATCACCACAATTTTCTAAAACAACCATTAAACAATCTTACAAATAAAACTTTAAGCTCGACTTCTGTCACTACCAATGAGTTTGCTCCAGTACTTCAAAATGTAATAAAGCCACAGCATCTAAGTGAAAATTCTAATAGCAATTGCAAAAACACAAGTTTTTCCATTAAACGCAGTATTGGTGATATCGACACGCCTCCTTTATACTCAGCAATTTCATCAGAAAATCTGTTTGCAAAACCCAAACCCTCTAAACCAAAAAAACCGCGCTTATCTAAAGTCCCATCTAAACGGGAAACTCTTGAAAATTACATTGATAATCATACCCCACCATTCGTTTTAAATTAGCACCAATTGTCCTTACTGATTGATAATGTCCAAGGCTCCACCACACTATTAGCGTCATTTAAGAATTTACAACTGATATGGCTGGTTTACTCCATCTTTTACAAAGCTCCTATCTATATGCAAATGGTAGATCTACAAAAAGTAAGTTTACAAAACTTCAAAAGAAACTACACAACCATTTAGAGAAAGAGGTTTTTGACTTAGATAGTGACTCTTCTGTAGACAATTGTTCAGTATTATCTAACTCCGAATCTGTTAACAACATTCAACTAGACACTTCAATGTAACATTGATGAGTTTTTCCATCGTCTCCCTATGCTACAACAGCTTTTTTTATCTGAATATTTTCCAGATATTATTTGTCTACAGGAGACAAACTTAAGAACCAATCAGTTGTACAATTCAAAAAATTTCACTCAAATTTTCACAGAAAACAATTTTCTTTTCCGCTTACCCCCAGCATGTAGCACATATTCAGCTGAAGTCTACGCCATATACCGTGCTGTAAAACTTCTTAACGAGCTTACACTCAACAAAAGCCTTGATCATAACAGATTCCCTTAGCTCTCTAAACTCATTAAACCACATTTTTCCGAAACGTCCTTTTGAAAAATTGCTAAAATACCAGCTTTCCCAAGCTCATAAAGATGAAAGAAGCAAATAATTTTTATGGGTTCCCTTACACGTCGGTAGAACAGGAAATGAAGAGGCTGACAGGACTGCACGAGAGGTAATTTTAAGTGATCTA